GGCAATATTCATTTACAATACAAGCGTCTAAAAAGTAAAAAAAAATATTCGAAGTTAGCACTTGTTGCTCTGACGATCAATTTTGTAGCTACCTAAAAGTTGGTCAAACTTATCCTTATTATTCATGTTCGAATTATAATCAGTTAGTGCTTTCGTGCATAGTATTTGCATTATGGTTCCATTTTTTCTTTTCGGTTAACTTCTGTTGTGATAATTCGATAAAATGTGTACAGACCTTTTATCTTTTCATTTTAGTGCTAACCGTTTTGTATTACTTGTACACCAATCAATATCGTCCATTTGAAGATGCTTATCCGGTTTGAACTTGGGTAAATACTTTCGCGACAAATTTACTGTTCCAACTGCATATACAGTGTGTCCGTAAAGTATGGAACAAATTCATTTTTAGCTAAACAGACCTTTTTAAGAAATAATCCTGAAACATGTCGATTTTTGATTTTAATTTACCGTATTTTAAAATAATAATCTAATATACAGGATGAATTACTTTCGAGTAATGACGTCACCGTAATTTTTTTTAAATGGAACACCCCCATTTTGTCTCAATTTTCGGATTACTCTAGCTGAGCTGATTGCAAAAATGTATCACATGTTGATTCCAATTGGTACAGGGTGGGTAAAAATACAATAGTTTTGTGTGTGCTCATAAAGTAACGCGTAACATTCTTTATTAGTTAAATTAACAATATCAAAAATACTTATTGTCTAGCGGACATGACTTTATAAATGTTCGAACTGCAGCCCTTGCTGTATTTGACAGTAACCGAAACGGTGTACAAATTCTTGTTGAACCTTGTTTATTGTGCCTTGAGAAATATTGTTTATTGTTGTCCGAATTCTCTCTTTTAATTCTTGAATATTTGCTGGTTTCGTTTGATACACAACATTCTTCAGATGGCCCAACATAAAATAATCCAAAGTATTGAAATCTGGTGACCTCGCTGGTCATTCGATAGGTCCACGTCTACCAATCCACCTGTTCGGAAAAATTTCATCTAGGTACCTTCTAAATTCTACAGCATAATGTGGAGGTGCACCATCCTGTTGAAACCATAAATTTTCAACACAACCTCCGGGATTACGTCTGCTGGGAAACAAATTACGCAAAGTAGGTACGAGATACCCCCTTAAAAACTCAAAGTACGTTGCCCCCGTTTAAATTCGATAAAGTAGGGTCCGATGATTCGATTTCTTACAATTCCAGCACATACATTTACCTTTTGCGGGTATTGTGTATGATGCTCACGCATCCAGTGGGGTGTTTCTTTTGCCCAGTATCTACAATTCTGACGGTTAACCTCGCCATTTAACGTGAAAGAGGCCTCATCAGAAAAAATAATGTTTTGTATCAAGAGAGGGTCTCGATGACATTTATCCATCATTTTTTTGCAAAATTGGATTCTTCTATCGGGATCATCTTCGTTTAATTCCTGCACAAGTTTGATTTTATAAGGATGCCATTTTTCAAGCTTTAATAGTTTGTGTACCGTTGTTTTGCTAACACCGATATCGCGACTAACTTTACGCACAGAAGTGTGCGCGTCTTCTTCAAAACTAAGTAAAACATCTAATGCTGTATCAGCATTTGCAGAGGGACGACCTGATTTGCGTGCATTTTCAACCGTATCAGTTTCTCGAAATTTCTTTTCAATATTACTGTTGAACGCGTTATAGGTCTTTCTGGATATTTATTATTAAACAAATTGCATCTGAGTTCGCGATCTGTCTCCATACCCAATGATCATAAGTATTTCAATTTTTTGTTTTACACTTAACTCCATTTCTAATTCAAATTAAATCTAAGCAATAATTAAAACATTCACGAATACCAAAAATATTGTAGTATTGACAAGGGGGGTAGCCATGTGTGAGCTGAGGTAATTTTAAGGTGAAGGGGGGAGAAAAAGTCCTTTATATCTCACAAGGAAAGTCAATGTTTAATTATTCAACAAAACATTGAGTGCAATGTTTTGTTGAATAATTAAACATTGACTTTCCTTGTGAGATATAAAGGACTTTTTCTCCCCCCTTCACCTTAAAATATTGTAGTACTAAACTGTCACTGAACATCAATAAATTATTAAACAAATAATGATATTTCACAAAAAACTAGACTACTATGTTTTTTCAAAATTGATAAGAAATAATTTCTTTCATATTCTGTCTGCTAGACCACAAGTCCACCCTGTACCAATTGGAATCAACATGTGATACATTTTTGGAATCAGCTCAGCTAGAGTAATCCGAAAATTAAGACAAAATGGAAGTGTTCTATTTAAAAAAAATGACGGTGACGTCATTACTCGAAAGTAATTCACCCTGTATATTAGATTATTATTTTAAAATACGGTAAATTAAAATCAAAAATCGACGTGTTTCAGGATTATTTCTTAAAATGGTCTGTTTAGCTAAAAATGAATGTGTTCCATACTTTACGGACACACTGTATATCCCACGTTGCTTCAAACTTTGCATCGAATCAATGCTATTAAAAAAATTGTCAAAATACAGTTTATGGTTTTTTCCTTCAAGACCCTCAGTCAACTTGCTAACAACTCTGGTTCCCAAGCTCTTTTCTTTAGATTTTCTAGTATATAAGTCAAATTTCAAACAATATCCCGACTTATCGCACAACATCCATACTTTATAACCTCTTTTTATGGATTTTTTGGCATTATATTGTTTTATTATACTTCTGCCCTTAAATTTTATCATTGATTCATCTAAAGCCAAAACTTCACTTGATAAAAGAGTATTTTTGAAAGCTTTCTCTAAATGATCTAACAAAGGCCGTACTTTGTAAACTTGTCTGAAACACGGTTAGGCATAGCAGAGTTGTCGTTGATATGCAGATGTCCTAAAAGCCAACCAAATCTTTTTTGTGCCATAAGGGAACTAATATAGCTGTCATGAAGGTCTGATGCACTAGACCAATAATCCTTGTAACTTGGCAGACACTTATTATTGTTATTTCAATAAAACAATAACCATTTACGTTGTATACATACCTATATACCATTTTTTATAATATTGACACCAATGTAAATCTCATAGTTTTTACAATTTTTTATTAAAACCTATTATGTATTTTCAGCCTTGAAAAAGATGAAAAATAAACGTCGAAACGTCAGCAAATTAAGAAGTTAATGTTTCCTTTTGGCACGTCCTCTTCCCACTAACCTCACACTCACAAATACATTTAAAGGACGAAAACTTTTACTAAATGGTGGAGTTAACATTTTAACTTAAACGCAAATTTAAAGGCAAATAAGGTTAGCGTTACTTAACATTATTTACCTTAAGCAGAGCGGTGGACTTAACGTAGTTTAAAATAAGCTATTATCGTTATTATTTTAAAGGATACGCCAAAATGAAAAATACCAAACGATGCGCCGCAAAATTTTAAGTCACTTAACATATTCGCTTTGGACTTGACATAGTCTGGCTCTGAACAGAATTACTCCAATATTTATAATTTTCACTGGTTTATTTAAGAGTAGTTAGACATTTTTTACATGGCAAATTTTGGGTTCGTTAAAACTTTGAACGAGAATCATTGTTGAAAATCTTCCCTTGTACTTATATTGTACATCAATAATGAATAAAATGTAGAAAGTTATTGTACATTACAATGCAACATAAAGTAGATGTTACGACTTTAATAATAAAAATTAAGTATTTATATGACAATAAATATTAAAACGTGACCAACTGCTTTGTAGTTATTTTATATGAATATATGCAGTGTTACTAAAAAGTCTGAATTATCATACGCATTTGACATGATATTGCGATCACTATATTTTTATATGCATTTTTGAATTTAAAGTTAAACTGCATCAGTACTAACCTTAATAACCTGATTCACAAAACATACTTAAATATTTATGGACCTGTACAGTTTTAAAGAGAAAAACATCAACTAAGGCAAGTCTGTGATTGGTAAAATGCAAATAAATGTGTTTATGCACGACTGGGCGATAAAGTCCAGATTATAAATACGTTTATCGGGCGTAAAGTGCCCATTTATCGCCCGCGTACTACTTTACCGCCCGAGAAATACTTTAAAGTAAATTTATTTTATAATAACCTGTAAAGAGAAATTAATAATTATTTAATAATAAAGATCGTACATAAAATTTTATACAGGGTTGCCCATTAATGCGTAATTGTTCAATATTTCAATTATTGTTATAGACATGCAAACAAGTTTCAAAAAAAAGTTATATAGATTTAAAATACACATGTTTTAAAATTTTTTTGAATAATCAGGGTGTTGCGTTTTTGCCTTGCAAATAAAAATATGTTTTTAAATAGAACACCGTGTATTTTATTTTATTTTTAGAATAATTATAATATAATAATAATAATACTCTCCCTAATTCACCCCCTTACGAGTGAATTTCAACCCCTGAAGTCGACTGAACGATTTGTGTAGGGGAAGGGACGGCTATTATTATTATTATTTGCCGTGGCGCTCCGGGGCGACTTAAAGATGATTGATGGTGCCATTTGACTTACAGGTGAGGAAAACCCGGAAAACCTCACCCACCATCATAATGAATGATTTGGTAATACCGTATTTAACTCTAGAAAGTTTTTAAATAATATCGCACGTTCCGAAGAAAAGAATAATAAATCAAAAAAACTAAATTTTACAGAAGAACGCAAAAACAATTGTCAAATTTTAAAATGCTAATAGAAAAACCTTATGGAGGTTTATGTATTTTCAAATTGTATCAATTAAAGGGTAAATAAATGATAATTAAGAATCTTCTCAAGTCATTTTTTAAAATAATGGTATTTTGAAATGAGTATATTTTTTGAAAATTTTGAGTTGTTACAGTTTTCTTCGAAAAATATTTATAATTTATAGCCAAAAAAAGACACATTTTTTAAAATTATTTTTTTTATTTTAGAACAGCTTTGAACAAAACAACGAAGAACATAAACTGAAATGTTTTTATTTTTTCGATTTTTTAACATATTGAATCGTAAAACATCTGGTAATAATTTGGAATATACCCTTTTTTTAACAAAAACTGAAAATCTCTTTTATTTTCATTTAACTGTCGTTTAGAACTGTAAACCTTTTTTAAAGTCGGCAACTGTGAATGGCTAGTTGTGAGCTGTTGATTGCTTTTAGCATTGGCACGTGGCCGTTTAAGAATATCCACTGCTTTGAAGTCTAGTTGAGTAAAAGAAGTTTTATAAAAAAACTTGAATGATTTCTCCTCGATTTTGACAACTTTAAAATCGTTAATTGGTATCTGCTTTTCATCTGAATTTATATTGAAATTTGGTCCCAGGTCAGTCATCAACTGTTTAATGTTCACAAAATCCTCATGAGTCGACTCTTTTAGGGTCAATGCGCCGGTTTTCGACCATTTAGTACAATGTCTGATTTCAAAAATGAGTGAGTTGCTTAAAAATGGGTTGTTTACTTCGATTTTTTTTTTCAAATAAATCTTTATGAAAAAATATTTCTGTTTTATTTTCGTTAATTGGAAATTTTATATTAAAAAAACAATTAAAAAGGTCATCTTTTACCCTTTTTCGACTACCGACTACTTCATGTCGACCAAATTTTGTTTGTGCTTAGTCGAACAAAGGTCCAATTTTCGACCGGTCACTGTTTGTACAGTCGGGAAAGGGAAAGGGATAGTTAAAAAAAAAACAAAAATATTGCTTTTTTAAGAACATATGAAACAAATGTAATCTTGGGCTGAAGCCTCTTCATAACTTAAACCATAGAATTCGGTGAACTTCATATGGTACCACCTGGGACAATCATCGCACCCTATGTTTTTTTCATCATCACTGATGAGTTCTTCTTTGCAGGCGGAGCATTTTAATTTTTCATTGCTTATTGGTGGATGTAGATCCTGGTTTTCTTGGCTCTTTTTTCCTTTTGTTCTTTTTGTTTTTAAATTTTGGTCTTTTTTCTTTAGCTTCTCCGTCTCTCTATCGTTTTTTACTTTCAGCCTTTTCTCTCTCTTTATTTTGGCTTCTTCTAGTTTTCTTTTCTTTTCATTTTCTTTTTTTGTGTAATATGTCCTCCATTCTTCGGATGAAATCGCACTGGGTAATTTTTCTTTTTGTTTACTATTGTTTGATTTTTTAATGGGTTCTGGGTAATGGAGATGCCGTTCAAATAAATTTTTAGTGTTCTTCCTTTTGGTCGTCAACAGTCAAGATTCTTCGTTGGGGGCTTTTTACAGTTACCAATGGGGGCATATTTTCTTTATTTTGCTCTTTAGTTGCTATTGGTTCGGAATCTAATTTAGTGGAACAAGGTTGTTCATGTTTTTGTCTAATATTGTTATCTGTTGTTAATTTTTCAACTTGAATGATCTCTTGATTTGCTCTTGTTTCGGAATCTAATTCAGTGGAACAAAGTTGTTCATCGTCTTTTCGTCCAATATTATTATCTGTTAAGTTTTCGATTTGAATGGTCTCTGGATTTGCTCTTGGTTCGGAATCTATTTCAGTGGAACAAAGTTGTTCATCTTGTTTTTGTCCAATATTGTTATCTGTTGTTAATTTTTCAACTTGAATGATCTCTTGATTTGCTCTTGTTTCGGAATCTAATTCAGTGGAACAAAGTTGTTCATCGTCTTTTCGTCCAATATTATTATCTGTTAAGTTTTCGATTTGAATGGTCTCTGGATTTGCTCTTGGTTCGGAATCTATTTCAGTGGAACAAAGTTGTTCATCGTGTTTTTGTCCAATATTGTTATATGTTGTTAACTTTTCGACTTGAATGATCTCTTGATTTGCTCTTAATTCGGAGTCTAATTCAGTGGAATAAAATTGTTCATCGTGTTTTTGTCCAATATTGTCATCTGTTGTTAATTTTTGGACTTGAATGGTATCTGGATTTGCTCCTGGTTCGAAATCTAATTCAGTGGAACAAAGTTGTTCATCGTCTTTTCGTCCAATATTATTATTTGTTAAGTTTTCGATTTGAATGGTCTCTTGATTTGCTCTTGGTTCGGAATCTTCAATAAGTTTTTTAAATTGGTCATCGTTGAAACACATTTGCTGTTCAACAACAATATTTTCAAATGGAATGATAACAGCATCATCTAGTGCAATTATGCACTTCTAATAGTTTGCATTCATTTTCTAGCAATTTTATTTCATGAAGAATGATATTGGCATCAATTCCTTTGACAGACAGTTTATTTTTTAAACTAAGAATAACTTTTTAGGCTGAGTGACATTCTGTAGTTGATATGCTAATAATTTCTTCGTCGTCTTTATTTTTACTCTGACCTTCCATTGTATTTTGGACGCATTTTGAGTAATCCACGTTATCTACGTTTAACGGATAAAGTCCACATTTTGTTAAAACCGTTGACAATGGCTGAAGTCATTTCATATTCTTCCAAAGTTGACTGGAACACTTTACAAAAATTGAGTTTATTTACAGTGCTGTTTACGTTTTCTGGAAGCCTTTGCCAATTTCTAACTGTTTTTTTCCACTCTGCCTTAAGCGGTTTGAATACATTGACATCTGCTGGTTGCATGATATGAGTTGAATTGGGTGGTAAAGCATAGACAATAATTCCATTTCTTTGGCAATATTCACTTAATGGCATAGTCATATGCGACCTGTGACCATCTAAAAATAAAATTATTGGTTTTTGAATTTTCTTTTCCTCCAACCATTTGTTAAAATCGTTGACTATGTATTCAAAGAACACGTCACCCTTCATCCATCCACTATCTGATTTACCCAAAACCCAGTCAGCAGGCATATTTTCCACCAAAGCTCGAGGTGGCCGGACATACGGGAATACCACTAACGGAGGAGCTACCCTGCCATCAGCAGAAAATGTTATTAAAACAGTTATATTATCTTTTTCTTGTCCTAATTTGTTATTATATAGGTTTCTCCAGCCTTTCGGTGCTAACACTTTTCCAGATTTTGGACATACCGAAAAGCCGGATTCGTCCCCATTGAAAATCCTTGTAGGGTCTGACATTATATGTGTTAATTGGTTGACATGTATATATTCATCCAATTCTCGAAACCATGTTTTAATATATTCCTTTGTGATAACTGCACGAGCTTTATTAATGCGTTCAGCTTCTCGTAGAGTTATTTCGGGAAGGCGTTTTAAAAAATTCTGGTACCACTTCTCCCCATGTTACTTTTTCCTAGATCTTTCGCTATTTGTTCTACCGTGTCGAAAAGATCTGATTTTTTAAGGGGAAATCCACATTTTGCAATGTTTAAGATCCACTCTTTGAGTTTAATTTCAACGACATTAGTGAGTAAAGGTTCTGGTCCAGTTTTCCGTTTAATTCCCATTGATCGTCCCTTTAATCGATCAATAATTGTTGTTTTGGGGATATTAAAATTCTGACTGGCTTTATTTATGCTGATAGTACCCTGCTGAATCTCATTTATAGCTGTTTGTAGGGCCTCTTCAGAATACTGAAAGAAACGTCTTTTTTGTTTGCATTTCATTGATTTTTTTCTCACATTATCGTTAATGCCTGATGGACCTGCTTTTCTGGTAGAAGGCATCTCTGCAAAGAAAAAACCTCTATTTTGAACCATTAAGAATTAAGTGGTCGAAACAATAATTCTTTTTCGACCACCTACTTATATTCTAAAAAGAAGTGGTCGAAAAAGAGACTATTTCTCGAACCCGTATTTAAAATCCTTAAAAAAGAAATATGGTCGAAAACTGGAGTTTATATTGGAACTATATTTCTTCGTAAAGTGGCAAAGTGAAACCAACCTATACAAACACTGTCATATAGAAAAAGACAGTTAAATGTGACTGCTAATTAGCCGGTTTTCGACCAGTTGGTCGAAAAAGGGAAATTATGATTTTTTGCATCTCATTACTCGACCACCTGATTTTAACTGAAAAATTGATATAAAACATAATAAAAACACAGTTTTTCTATATAAATCAGTAAATATTTTAAACTGAAGATGAAATGTAAGCCATATTAATAATAGGTATATTACTACTTACCCGCTATTTTCCAAGGCACTATTCACTACCAAATTTGTATAAAACAATAACATGTAACACTAGTCAGGTGACAGCAACCTTTTCATGTTTGTTCTAGAATGATAATGGGGTGCTAAAGAGCTTGTGAATTCCCAAATAGTCGAAAACGAGTTTAGAGTGGGACAAATGATTATGTGTATCTTTTTCTTATTTTGAGCGAATTTGTATTAAAGTGGTCGAAAACTAGCTGTGGTCGGGTAACCGGCGCATTGACTCTACTCAGTATGGCTCTCCTTTTTTCTTTGCATTTCTTATTATTTGAATAAACTGACCCGGCACATAAATTGGGCTCGATTTGAGGGATCGTGAAACCTAAAAAATAATAATTTATTGGGAAACCTTAACGGAATGTGTGGAGTCCCCCTCATTTTGGGCGTGCCCAACAATAAGAAACTTATGCGTAATTTCTTTAATTTTCAATTTTTGAACTGCATAAATGAGTGCTGCTATCAAAAATCTGAAACAATGAAAGAAAACTGTTCATTTAAATTTTGATCTTAGGTAGGTACCTATTTTTTTGATGGACTGCACAATTGTCACTATAAAGGATCATTTTAAAAAATTCAGGGTTGAAGATACATCAAAATACATGAGGCCACTTTGGTCGTTCCTTTTCCCCTTTCGCCCTCGTGTCATACGAAGCACCATGTCTCATCCTTTGCTAATCCAGTAATGGTTAAATTCATTGTATTTAGTTTTGACCTGTAGCACACTAGGCTTGAGTTTGTGACGTTTTGGCGAAAAAAGCTGAAGGGTATGGAGTTTGTTAACTGTCATGAGGTAGTAGAGATAATCTAGAACTTACTTTAATTAAAATTTAATCGCTCTAGAAAACATTTAATTTTTAAATTAATATTTCCTAGAACTACTAATTGTCCCACTGTGCAATGGACGCGTCTCGTCGGATCGAATGCTTTTTCTTCTTGATCTATGTCCGCTTTTAAGCAGACTTTTTCCCGGGAAAGCGTTCGACCCAAAATTTCATCTAATTTTCCTGGGAAATGTGTTTGAGTTAGTGGGAAAATTTGCGAGGAACTTCGAGTAGTGTAGTATACTGGAATTTTTAGGTATTTCGGAAAAACGTCAGGAAAGTCGGAAAATTCGGTAAACAAAAAAAATATTTTTTTATTTTCTACAAAGAAAGGAAATTTTCAGAAACGTATAAATCCGCCGGAAAATTGTTGAAACCCCCTTTACAGTAGAAAAATTTCAAATTTTTCTATACCATTCGGTGGGGATATTTTAAAAACACATTTAACTTGAATTTTTTTATGAATTTTTGAAAAACGCGAACATTTTACAGTTTTTTTCGATTTCCCCTTCCCCCTATCATGAAAACCCTGACAAGTGGATATATCATTCCATGCGATAATTAGTCTTAATGTCTTTTTGTTCTATCTTTTATTTTAAGCAACTTTTTTCCCGGAAAAGCATTCAACCCTAATTTTTTAGGGATATGAGTTATCGGTAAAATTTTGATGACAGGTTGTGAAAAATGTCGAGTAGTATATTCGAATTTTTTGCGTTTTTGGAAAATTCGTCGAAAAAGTCAACATATCTCGGACCGGTTAAAGTTTGTTGATGTGGTAACAATGGAGTTTTTGCTTCCAGCATAATACCTGCAAAACATTACAGTTCCTCTTTGATATCTTGGGACATATCTGGCAGTTCATCTTCCTGGAGCGCTGAGAACCCGAATTCGATGGTCATCTGATCTTAGGCCAATTCTGGTCTCATCCAAAAAAAGAACAATTTGCCAACTCTCAATTGTCCAGTTTTGGTGTTGGATGCATTAATTTAGCCGATCAATTTTATTTTGTCTTTACAACCTGCGTGCACGAAGTCTTTTTCTTAGGGTTTCAATTGAAACGTTCACACTTGTAGCTTCCACAAGTCGTCGTTGTAGCTCTAGATGAGAAACACTGGGATTTCTTCAAGTAATTTAGCATACAAAGGGATCCTGTTGTTAAGTTGTGATTCTTTGACTACTTTGTATGGGCCTGTTCTTAGGAGTTTCTAGTTCCAAGTACCTTTCATATGTTTTCGATACAACACCCTGGGTATCGCTTACTACCTCTGCTACGACTCATTGGGACATTCCTTGTTCAATGAGAGCAATGATTCTCACCCCTCAGCACATCAATTAGTCCAATATAAAGCATTTTTTTGCTTTTTTGGACCGAAATAAAATTACCGGAGGATCGTGATTTTACTTCTGAACACAAAATTCACAAGATAATAAATCTCAGCAGTCGTTTCTTCTTTATTACCATGTTTGTTAAGAAAAAGCCTTATCTTAAAGTTGAATACCAAATTTTTCCTTACAAAAAGTTTATTCAGAAATACACAGTGATTCAATATAAGTTTGGTTGTGTGTATATCCACTTTCTATTGATTAATGTAAGTGATTACTCATACAGTGAGTTTTTTTTTTCATTACTCAATTATTTCTTTCATTACTCAGTTATTCTCAACCAGTGAAAAAATCGAATGCCATTACTTAACTATTTAAGAATTAATCAGAAAATTCGACATAAAACCTGTCTGGCAACACTGTTTGCAACATACGTCAACCGTCAACTGCACTTTTACTTTGTCGCTCCAGCTGTCAAAATGATCAATTGTGCAGTAACAATTAGGCATTCCAACGACCTGTCCAAATCACTGAACTATATATTAAACTGGAAGACCAAAGCCGATCAACAAAATCAAGCCGCATAGCGAGGTGATATTTGACACTTCGGCGCCAACATGTGCGTATCGAAATGTACTAAAGAGGATCATCAAAATTAAATTTAACACTTATTACATTCAACTAGACAACTTTTAATTTAAGAAAATCACTTAAATAGTATATTATGCAACGATCATGTAATGATGGTTATTAATACACGAGCATTAACCGGGATACGAAACGAGCCAAAGGCGAGTTTCGTATGGTTTATGCGAGTGTATTAATAACCATTACATGAGAGTTGCATACGCTATTTTTTCTACACCCGA